ATCAGTGGGCTCAAGTGTGACAACAATTGTGAGGTTGGCCCAGGGCTGGGCAGTGTTTCGTTCTGTTGTGCATAGGTCCGCTATGAGTCGGTACCGACCTGATGGCACCTAACAACAAGAGCAGCAGCAGCTGTGGTGGCAGGTTCTGGAGAAGACCCAGGGGAATGTGGGAGTTTCTACAGGGAGCACTTCTGTGAGCTCTCTGCATGTGGGTGCATCTCTGTCACTGTCTTTGGGGGAAGGACTTCCCTTGGAAAAGTCCTTAACTCTTGTGTTCCTGTCCTTACCTGCCCACCGATCTCAGATGGTTGTAGACCATGAGGAAGGACATGTAGTGAAATGGTTGCTTGGTTAAAGCACTGCCTAAATGGTGCAGCTGCAAAGCCTCATTGGGCAAAAAAGAACACCAGGAGTCACTGTGCGTCACAATATTGATGTTTCTCTAACGTCTCTACCAGCGTTTCCACCTCCCTCTTCATTCCAGTGTTCTTTCTTCCTGGATTCTCAGGTTTCCTGTCTCTTCTCCATACCTGTTCCTTAAGGATAGCTATGCTCCTAAGCTCTCTCCTCACTCCCCATTCCTGGACCATTCTGATCCCATAGCTTCGTGGTGACAGCATATGCGTTACTCCATCAGCTAGGTCTCCAGCCCTGTCCTCCCTCTGATGTCCAGATCCTTGACATCTCTCTCAGCCTGCCGCAGACTCATCAAGGTCATGTTGAGTGCTCTCTCTCTCTCTGACCTGTGTATGTGGCCTGTCACCAGGGGCTGTGATTTCTCCCCTCAAATGCCGCTCACATCGATGCTCTTATTTCCATTCTCACTGTGACTTACCCAGCTCATTCCCTCAACCAGTATTTATATCTATTTATTTAGCAATAGTAAACTTATTTGTTGTTGTTGTTGTGAAGTGCTGTTGAATGTGTTCTGACTCACAGTGACCCGTATAGGGTTTTCAAGGAGCAGCTGGTGGGTTTGAACTGCTGTCCTTGTGGTTGGAAGTCCAGTGCTGATCCTACAACACCACACCAGGACTCCAATGTTTACTTTTTTATTTAGCAATGTAGAAATCACCCTGAGGTAAATCTTCCATGTAGCTCTAACAAGTCATGGCATAGCTGCTCTGGTTGTAGTTGGTTTGTAAGTTCCCTGCCCCCTCCATTCCTCCCCACATGGCTCCCAAGGCTCTTTGACACCAGGAGTTCAAAAAGCATCATAGTTTCTTATTGATGATCCTTGATCTGGTAACTGGACCTTCAGCTTTCTGTTTTGAGATTTCCTTAGTGCCAGCCTCTGAGAATCTCACTTTTGTCTATGTCAAATCTCCACCTTCAGTCTGTCTGTCAGTTACTCGTATCCTTGTCTCTCAGGTACTGTTTGTCTGTCTGGGTGTCATCTGCCTGCCCTCATTTACCATGCTGTTATGTGAGGTTGCCATTGTGTTTGCAATCGCTGTCAGTTGTAAAAACTAACGCTGTGTTTGTTAATACCAGTTACTCGTGGTTTTTCTGTTATGGCTGTACGAGACAACTCAGATGCCTGGCTTCTTCCCATCCCAGTGCCTTTGGATGTGCCTTCATTTCTTTGCCTGGAACTCTCTTCTTGTCTTTCAAGCACCCAGTCTTTAGGAAGCCTGTATGAAACCCTCCTGGGTTGTGATTTTCTCTCAGCATCTTGTATGTGTTCTCACCAGTCCCTGAACTCTCCCTGGTTTTAGCACTTACTAGTTTTTAAATGGAGTCCTGGCGCCTTTACTTATCTATTTATGTGATTGCTCATGAATGCACCCTCCTCTAGACTCTAGTGTGACCCAAGGACAGAGACCATGTCTGTTTTGCTCAACATTTTATTGAACCTATGATTAACATAGAATCTGTGCTCAATACATAGTAGATGAAATGAGTAACCCCAGTATGACCCTCCCTGTCTAGTCATACACAAGTTTATTGGGGCCACTTCCCAGCATGGCCTGGATGCGATGCTGTCACTCAACTCCTCCGTGGTCCAAACCACCTTAGAAAGGAAAAATCTCCTCTCCCAACATTGGTGTACCACCTTAGAACAACATACAAAACAGGGCTACTGACATTCTTACTCAACAGTTTTCATTCTTACTCAACTGGCTTTTGTATTCTGGAAGGTCTGTGCTTTGAACCTGCTCCATAGGAGAAAGATGTGGCCGTCTGCTTCCGTAACAATTTAGAAACGGGGCAGTTAATTCTGCTATGAGTTCAGAATTGACGGGAGCAGTGGATTTGATTTTTGGGTATAGACTAGTTTCCAAAAGACTTTTGCTGGTTAGTAACTAATTTCTTGGATAAGAAAAATCTTTAAATCAAAGTAAAATATTTGTTGTAATTTGTTTCTTCCATAGTGGCAACAACCCATATTCCTCATTTGGAGCAACTCTGGCAAGGGATGATGAAAAGAATTTGTGGAGTATGCCTCATGACTTGTCCCACACGGAGGCAGACGACGACAGGATCCTGTACAACCTCATAGTTGTTCGGAATCAACAGGCCAAAGATTCTGAGGTAAGCGTCATTTGAGTTCTCACCTTGTACAGATGAAATGCTTGATAAACAGACGGCGCTCATTTCTAATGATTATCTTAATGGTACAAATTACAAACGAGATAGTGCCGTTGAAGAGTATGAAGATAACTGATCACCTTAAATGGTTCCAACTAACCATCTGGAGTCTTTGCAGTTATTTAGCAAGCTGTAGTTCGGTGATTTGGACTGGGGAAGGCAGAATGGTATTTTGCATTACTGATAATTCTGAACTAGTGGGGCCTGAATTTGGAGTTTTATTTTTTCTGTTTAAAGAAAGATGTTTACCTGTGCTTTATTGACTACCCAAAGGCTTTTGATTGTATAGATCATGGCAAACTATGGACAACATTGCGGAGAAAAATTATTCTGGAACACTTAATTGTGCTCATGAGGGACCTATATATATAGACCAAGAGGCAGGTGTTTGAACAGAACAAGGGAATACAGAATGGTTTAAAATTAGGAAAGGTGTGGGCCAGGGTTGTGTTCTTTCACTGTACTTATTCAGTCTGTATGCTGAGCAAATAATCCATGAAGCTGGATTATATGAAGAAGAATGGCATCAGGATTAGAAGAAGATTCCTTAACAACCTGTGATAATGCAGATGATACAACCTTGCTTGCTGAAAGTGAAGAGGACTTAAAATACTTACTGATGAAGATCAAAGACCACAGTCTTTGGTATGTATTGCATCTCAGTGTAAAGAAAACAAAAATCCTCACCACTGGACCAATAAACAACATCCATATAAATGGAGAAAAGATTGAAGTTGTCAAAGACTTCATGTTGCTCGGATTAACCATCAACACTCACAGAAGCAGCAGTCAAGAAATCAGATGACGTATTGCATTAGGTAAATCTGCTGTACAAGAACTCTTTAAAGTGTTGAAGAGCAAAGATGTCAGTTTGAGGACTAAGGTACGTCTGATACAAACCATGGTGTTTTCAATAACCTCACATGCATGCGAAAGTTGGACAGTGAATAAGAAGGCTTTAGAAGAATTGATGCATTTGAATTATGGTGTTGCAGGAGAATAATAAACATACAGTGGGGTATCAAGAACAAACAGATCTGTGAAGTACAGCCAGAGTGCTCATTGGAAGCCAGGATGGCCAGACTTTATCTCTCATCTTCAGACATATTATCATGAGGGACCAGGCTATATCATGTTTGGTAAATGGAGGGTCAGAGTAAAAGAAGAAGACCTCCAATGAAATGGATTGGCACAGTGGCAGCAACAATGGGTTCAGGTATAGCAATGATTGTGAGGTTGGCACAGGACCGGGCAGTGTTTTGTTCTGTTGTGTATAGGGTCTTGTATTACTCGGTACTGATTTGATGGCATCTAACAATAATAAGAAGTCAGGTGATTCAGACTGGGGTGGGTAGAAGGGTATTTTGCGTTATTGATCATTCTGATTTAGTGGGACGTGGATTAGGAGGTTTATTATGTTTTAAAGCCTTGTAAATTGTGCCTACTGATCAGACAGTAGCTTCTCTGTCATAAACCAGAATCAAACCAAGCCCACTACTACTGAGTCAGTTCAGATTCATAGCAGCCCTGTAGGGTAGAGTAGAACTACTCCATAGGGTTTCTGAAGCTGCCAGTCTTTACAAGAGCAGACAACCTCATCTTTCTCCCACAGAGCAGCTGGTGGGCTTGAACCTCTGACCTTATTGTTAGCAGACCAGTGGTTAAGTCACAGTGCCACCAAAGCTCATTGTTGTTGTTGTGTTCCATTGAATCAGTTCTCACTCATAGTGACCCTGTATAGGGTTTTCAAGGCTGTAGATATTCATGGGAGTAAAAAGACTCATCTCTCCCCTGTGGTGCAGGTGTTGGATTTGAACTGCTGATCTTGCAGTTAGCAGCCTAACGCACAGCCCACTACACCACCAGGGCTCCATGCTAATAATATTTGTTGTCATTGTTTTTAAGAGCCATCAAGTTGTTTCTGACTCATGGTGACTCTGCGTATGTTTTTCAAGGCTGTGGATCTTTGCAGGAGGAGATAGCCTCATGTTTCTCTGGAGGAGTGGCTGGTGAGCTTGAACTGCCGACTTTGTGGTTTGCAGTCCAGTGCTTATTCTGCAGAGCTACCACAGGACTATTTATAGGTGTTTTCATTTTAGGAGACTGGAGTATGAAATATGTTCCTTATCTAGGTTACTTTGGAGTCTTGGTGTAGCGCTGTGGGATAAAGCACTGTACAGCAAGGTGGGTTTGAAGCACAAGTTGTGCGATTCAAACCCACCAGCTGTTCCTTGGAAACCCTATACAGAGTTGCTATGAGTTGGATCTGACTAGATGGCACTAAAGGAGAACAACAACAATCTAGGTTTCTTTAGTTTTTTCTAATTAATTGTTAACTGGTTTTCTCCCCAAATGTATTTCAGCAGGATATGATCACTTTAGCAGTGCATGTGCCCAGGGACTTTTATTCTGATGTGACTTGGCTGGGTTGGGAGGTTAGACATGGGTGTCAAGGTGGGGATCACAGAGTAGGGGAAGCTCTGCTTTTTGGTTCTTGAGGTCATTTGCAAGTAGTTTGCACTTCAAGGAGCTCTGGTAGCGTAGTGGTTACGAATTGGGCTACGAACCGCAAGGTCAGCAGTTTGAAACTACCAGCTGCTCCACGGGAGAAAGATGAGGCGTTCTGCTCCCGTAAAGATTAACAGCCTCGGAAACCCTGTGCAGGGTCGCTATGAGTCGGAACCGACTCCACGGCACATAACAACAACAACTAATTTAAAGGTTGGTGGTCCAAACTAACCTTATGATTCTGTTGGTGAAAGGCCAACAGAAAAACAAAATAAAAACTCAAAGCTGTTACCGTTGAGTCGATTCTGACTGGAAAACCCTTTGGAGCTGTTCTGCTTGGTTGTGACACGCTGGATTGCCAGGAATTTGAATCAACATCATGGCGACAGGTTTGGTTTGGATAAGGAACAAGGAATCCTGTATATTTTTGCATGGTACAAGTTCGAAGCTCAAAAACACTATATTAAGGAAAACTAAACATTTTACTTTTCGAATGGCAACGGCAACACAGAAACAGGAAAGCCACATTTGGAACCCTTTGAATAATGAAAAATAATTTAAAAAAGATTATAGTATGTTTACTGTCTGCATTCCCTTGTTAAGTCTGAAGCAGCTGGAGGAAGAACTACACATTTAAACAGTTTTCTCCCAAATTGACTTTGTGTTTCAAGGTAGAACTGTGCTCCGTAGGGTTCTCAATGGCTGAGATGTTTTTGGAAGTAGGTCACCAGGCCTCTTTGTGGCACCATCTAGGAAAAATTCCAACCACCAGCCTTTCTGGTAGCAGCTGAGCATTTAACCCTTTGTGCCACGCAGGCACAGTGATTGAAATCTTGAGGGAGGACCTTAAATATCTCTTATCTTAAATTGAGAATTCAAAATGCCTGCGTCCAGTCTGTCCCAAGCCTTTCCCTGTGAGTTGTTGATACGTTTTCCCATCAGTGGGACGACAGCTCTGTTTGGTATGAGGATTGTGACCCTGTTTTGGTATGAGGATTGTGACCCTGTTTCAGGAAATGTTCCCAGTTCTAACACAGGGTTTTATATGGAGATTGATGCTGGTTACGGGTTCCTGCTGGGGGCTCCTGTTTTATTAGCTGCCAGATGTTTCTTTCTGTCTTTCTTATTCCTTCTTCACTTTGCTTGGTGGTCTCTGGCCTAGCTTATTTGGAGTCTCTTTAGCTGATTCTGTAGTCACTGTTCTTTAGTTTCATACATGACATTAAGCTATGCTTACCTGGCAAAAAACCCTGCAGAAAATTCCTAAACTTTTTATTGTGAAAAACTTTTAAACTTTGGATGAAAATCAAAGATAAAAGATAAAATCATTCTCAAAAACACATAGAGAAATTTTTGAGATTGTAGAAACTGTTAGAACGGTATGTCTTTGGCTATGTATGTTTTCTCCGAAAATAAACACACAAACAAAAAAACAAACGCTTGTAAGCACTGCTTTGGGTAAGAAATTGTTGTTGTTGTTAAATTCTGTTGAGCCAGTTCTGATTCATAGTGATCCTGTATGGGTTTCCAAGGAGCATTTGGTGAATTTGAACCAACAGCCTTGTGGTTAGCAGTCCAGTGTTTATCCTATAGTGCCACACTAGGCTAAAAAAATATTTGATGCGTAACTTGTGATAAATATTCTATGCTTAATTTTGAAATTAATAAGTAATGACATGCTCAAAAATATAGATGATTCTCATAACTGCTGTAGCCCATGGCAGTATTTACACACTAGCAGGTGAGTTGGTACCAACTCGATGGCACCTAACAACAACAAGGCTTCCATGTAGGTTAACGTGCTGGACTGCAAGGTCAGTTTGAAACTCAAGGTGGGCAGTTCAAACTCACCAGCCACACCTTGGAAAACCTATAGGGTTGCTATGAGTCAGAATGGACTCGGTGGCACTTAACAACAACAATAACAAATGCTTCCATGGAACCATGAGATGCTTGTGTGGCTCAGGTGAGCCCCTGAAAACCACATTCTGCTCAACTTCAGTAAACATCTGAATGTTATTATTTTCTGAAACCATATCAGCAAAAACATACAGTGCTCCTGGTTTACAATTTACTTATTCTTCCTGTGTGCCAGACAGAACTCCCGCAGCCAGAGTGTTGCCAAGCAGTTGCTGTAAAATTTAAAAATAGCACCAGACCTTCTCAGGAGTTGTTTCCAAGGTTTGGACTGTAATTAACCCTTCTGTATTCCTAATACAAAAAGAAATAATGCAGAACCAAACAGAGTTCACTGGCGTGTTTGGTGGGTGACTGTAAGGAAGGGGTCAGAGGATTGGATTGATTGTGTATCAGCCACGTAGCTCATAAGTACTTGGAGGCCTGGTTATTCCAGTTTGACTCCACATTGCTTTGTCTGAACTGGTCTACCTCGATTAGGCAAGGCGTACTCTGGCAGGGCCATCTGATGTCTGTAC